AGAGAGAGACACAGACATCTTAGTGCACATTATGATAGACAGCATTACTGTTTGTCACAATAGGTTCCATTCATGAAGTCTTTGATTTTGGTCTCATTAAAATACTAATTTATTATTATTAAATATGTCTATATATAGGGTTTTATTGATTTTTCCCCCCCAGTATTAGTTATTTGAATACATCAAGATAAACTAAATTAAAAATGTTGAAATAAAATAGTTTGTTTTAGTCATTTTTATTTTTTTTTTTTTTTTTTACATTTCTCTAGTTTTCATGTCAGTTATAGTTTTACTTCGTTTTTTAAAACATGTCTACATAGTTTTTTATTTTTATTTTAGTTTTCGTTATTTTAGTACATTTAATAATTTATTATTATTAAATTAATTTAGTATTTTTAAATATCTCTATATATAGTTTGTTATTGATTTGCAAAATTCGTTGCATTCTAATTTCAGGTGTGCGTCAGGCAGCTTATCAGCGGCACACGAGATGCGATGATGATGTAAGTGTCGTTGCATTGTAATGTTTTTGTTAGCTTATCCAGTTGAAGCCACTAGATGCGGCGCTGCTACGTTGTTCATTAAAAATATTGCAGGAAAAGAACAATCAATGCGGGGAAGATCTTGTTTACGTCAAAACTGAAACCAAGCCATATCACATTTTCTAGAGGGACATCTATCAGCTTTGCACTAACTTACTTATCTTCTTAAGACTTTCATTAATTTTTGCTCCTCAATGCATGTTTCTAAATGAAGCGTAAAGGTTAATGTGTGTGTGAGTGTGTGTTGTTGTTGTTTACCATTAGTTTAGCGTGATTTACGTTCCAGGTCAGCGTCGTGAGGCTCCTGTTTCTGAGGTCGACCACAGAATCCTCGATGATGTAAACCGAATGCGACAGATTTCCCGGGAAGACGCGCTCCGCCCAGCGAGGGAGACGACTGGTCTTCGTCAGGAGCCGCCGGGACAGGAGCAGGTTATCCGGCGTCACCTCGCGGAAAAGTACGTCCTCCGTCAGAACATGAGTGCTGAGAGAAACACGCTCACAGTGTCATATAGTGCACAAGACAATCAGATAAAAACAACAGAGAAGCCATTGATTTAGATATGTTGATTATATAGATTTGGAGAAATGTAGCATTGCATCAGTGTCTCACCAATGGATGTGAATGGGTGCCGTCAGAATGAGAGTCCAAACAGCTGATAAAAACATCACAATAATCCACAAGTAATCCACAGCACTCCAGTCCATCAGTTAACATCTGGAGAAGACAAAAGCTGAAACAAATCCAGCATTAAG